CACACACACACACACACACACTACACGCTATAAGCATCATTTCATCCTTGTTTATTAAATATTAAACAAGGATAAATGATGTTTATAAGCGCTGTGAGAGTAAAACGGAATGCACTCGTATAAATCCAATTCTTAGAATTAATAATTTAATACTTCTCCTTTATTAAAAAATGAAATTTTATTCATTACTCGTTTTAATAATCTCATTATTCTTAATTGCATTCGCGACAATTACAGCTAAGATTCAATAATCAATCATTAATATGTATTCAAATAATAATCGAATAATTAAATTTTTTTTATTATTTTAATTGCACAGGTACACACACAAATTTTACGTACACAGACAAAAATACTGTACATGCAACTGAAATAGTTAATAGTAAGATACCGTGTCAACTCTTGCGAACGAGCGTCGAGAAAACATTTTTTCAACGCTCTAAAGTACAAACGTGTCGTGCAGAAAATCGTAAGGAAAGAGGTGACTATCATACCGCTGCTCGCGTATTATCACTTTACTGATTCTTCGAGAGGGAGAGAGAAAGAGAGAGAGAGACTGAAATCACAAATACTAAAGAACGGCGATAAGAACGATCGGACGCAATCTATTTTCCGCGCTGTTGCGCCAAAAGCGGGTCGCTAAGTTGCGCGCGGAAACCGTAACAAAACATAACAAAAATAATCCCGGTGTGTGCAATAGGAGAATATTTACCATACGAGACAGACATTCGAACGACATTCTTGCACGCTCATTGGACAATATATTTTTTTCAATCTTGGTTGAAATTTGTGCAAGAAATGCAAAAACACTAGGAAAAAAACTGACATTTCGAAGTATATAAATATTAACAGCTATATATTAATCAACTGTCATCCGTATAAACTGTCATCCGTGGAAACTCGAATATTTCATTATTTAACTTTCTGTGGAAATTTAGTAGGTATAAAAAAAATATATCCATCTTCTATTAAAGTACGATATTTTCATTTCAAATAGAAAAAAACCACTGTATTAAAAAATAATACCTACACTAATGGACATACATACTTTAATGAAGATAAAAACTTCATTCTGAATTTTTTATTTCCTATACCGGTTAATTCTTGCTTATTTAAAATTTAATTAATTAATATATGACCAATTATACTCTATTTAAGCTCTTACAGTAAATAAGAGAGTAAATAGTTTGCTCACTTTACTTTTACTGAATAATTTTGAGAAAAAATATGCTGCTACAAATGTGTGTCTTATTTAATATATCAATATAAATAAAATCATGCCACGGCAAAGATATTTTGCAATATCTTTCTGTGCTGCATAAAATTATTTCCAAGCTAGGTTATGCAAATATTCCTTTATACTTTTGAAACAATATAATTAACATAAATTCAATTCATATTCGCGTTTGCTTGTTTAATATATTACATATACGGGAAGTTTATCCGCAACAGGAAGTAATTTCCTTTATTAATGGCTGAATTCAAAGTGGTTTTAAAGGAGCTAATTATAGACATCATTAAGCTGAGTTAATGCTGACAAAATTCCTCCCTGTTTGTTCCGGCTTGGTGTCGATATGAAAATTCTTTAGAAACGCACAAGTCGGTGCTTTTAGGTCGCGGCGTCAAGTTCAATTGAACGACTAATTATTATCGAGAGATGAATTTGACGCGTGCCCGTACTTGCTCGCGTGAGCTCATGCTGGCGTATTTTTCTTCCTTCCGGGACATTCTTTACACTTCTATTTGTAGATAGAAGAAGGAAAAGTATACTGGCAGTTTCGCCGCGTAACTCGTTTCTCCGCAACGCTATACCCTCTCGAGCACGCCGCAAACACGTTTAACGACCATATCGATTGAAACATCGCGAGTATTCTACCGTGCGAAAGAGGGAAAACGGTGAGATCAGAAATGTTTTATCGCACGAGGACTGCGGTCGCATGTATATAAAAAAGAAAAAAAGAAAAGAAATCTATAAGCTTTATATATTTAACATAGTTAAAACACGTACAATTTTCCAGACAGCACGTTACCGCGGTTGTGGTTAAATAAATATTTATCCGTCCTGTATTATAAATATAATATTCATGGATGAGGTGGAAACTGACTTGCGGAAGTAATCTTGTTGAATATGCATCAACTATCTCGTTCCCTCCCCTGTATATATCTTATAACGTAATCATTCGTTTCATAATTCACGAGAAATCTCATGTACAAACAGAAATGTCAATGTCCAATAGGAAAAAAAAAGTTACGTCAATGAACATTTGACACGATGACATTGAAAAGTAACTAGTTTTTAATTAAAATCTCGAATACTGTCTCGAGTTATGCGAGAATACAAAATTAAAGAATAAAAGGAAGGAAATTTACATAAATTATTTGTATGTATATTTTAACACGACGCACGTGATATATTGTCATTCAAGTGTAAGTGCGTAAACGCATTTGCTTTTCAGAAAAGTTATTTTTCCCCGTTTGATAACGACTCTTATCGAGTATAACATTACGTGTAACCGGAAAGGTTCGTTTACACCGTTGCAATTTTGGGGTCATGCAAATAATGTGGTGGCGGAGTCATGCACCGGTGTGCAAATCTCAACTATTTATGCCAAACATGCAGATTGACTTCCACGAATACGTTCTGACCCCTTATTAGGAAATTACCATGATTCGTCCGGTCGCAAAAATACATTACCCTCCAAACAACAGGAATGAGTGTTTTTCGCTTGAAAAATTCCTTCTTGGCTTTTCGTCGACGAAATCCGTTATATCAAAACATTTGTCAGCTTCGCTAATAGAAAGCGACTTTATACGAGACGCGATAAAATCCTCGCTCGCGTTAATCGCCAAATTAATCTGTAAAAACGCCGGACGCGTAAGCGTATTCACACGGAAGATATTAAGTCAGGAAAGAAACCATTTGTATTTGGCCATTACGTACGTGAGTCTGATTTACATGGATGTAATTATGCGCGATCGACAAAATAGGGCAGGCAAATCGTATTACGCAAGTGGCAGTCACCGTAACACGATTTGATACACATGCGGAAATACTAATTGAATTTCTTGATTAGAATATCCCAGTTGTAATCCGTAATATCTGCGGGAAAGTAGAATTCAATTAACGCGATTCCGTTGTAAGCGACGGGTCCGCGAAACGTATTTATGTCGCATGAAACGCGTATCGCACGGTCCCGTTGAGTTAATCTGTCCAATTAATCGAATGTTAAAAATGGAAGAAAAATAAACGCAAACTCCCACCCCTACTGTTGTTATGTTGTATTGTCAATATGCTGTAGTAAAATAATACATTTTCATATATGATAAAACAACATTATTGAAGCCCCTGTATTATTATACCTTGTGCGCTACGCGGGCGTACAAATTATGCCAGTTGCGTGACTATTTCAAACGAACGTCGCCGATAATACGATGACATTCGCAAATCTCGACCGACCACGCAAACGCAGAGACCTCCGTTACGATGGGAACGTCTGTTTCCATTGTACTCGCGAAAACCTAAATTAACAATTCATTTGCCTGGCATAGAGTTGCGAATGCATCGCGATAAGGTGCTTTATTTAAATGTTCAAAGCATATTTTAGAACTACGCCGTTCATATGGTGTCCTAGCAAAAGATACGAGTGTATGCAAATAAACTGATACAATACCCAACTTAAGACGTAAAACTCAAAATTAAAAATGTCAGTCGGATAAGATTTCATACCAATATAAAATATCAAGACTGACGTGTATAATATTTCTTATATTATTATATATATTATACATAGATATACTTACGCTTATGAATATTACATTGTGTTATTTAACAATTTCTAAAAAATCCGTTTTGGAAAAGCAGAGAAAATTCAAATATAAAAAAAAAGACGAATGCCCAGAGAAAATAGTTTTGCTAAAGTACCTATAAAATAGTTCGATACAGATCAGAAAATAATTTATTTGATGAAATCAGAATAACTCTTAAAATAACTATGTAGGACGCTCACTGGTTGCCAGAATATTAAAACTTTTAGCAGCATTGCTCGTCATATTTAATTATTTTGATGTCCCAACAAAAGTATTTTCGGATCTGTCTCAATCTAAATTTTTAAATACTTCAATAAAATCGTTTCTTCTGTGTGCAATTTCATCAGCACGCACGCGGTTGTAATTACACTGCTCTTGACAAGCCATTGTCAAGGCCTTAACTATCAACTTTCCAATGCCGCAGACAAGCCTTTTCGTAACAATTGATAGGATCATAATAATAACAGCCCCGGCGTCAAATTACGTCCATCCGGCGATAGTCGATTAACATAACAGTCTGAGAGACTATGTATTACGTTCTAACATCAACACGATAATTACCATAGGCTGGTGACTTTTCAGCTTTTACACAAACACATAGAGAGCTCTTCCTAGCTTTCTTCGCACTTGTCATTAACTGAACATTGATATACAGACAAAAGAAAAGGAGCTCGCGCGAACGATCCAGCGGGCGATGAATCGGCCGCGATTTATCAGCCAACGTTGGATCTAATCACGAAAAAAGAAAAGTTAATTAGAGTTGCACAGATGCTTCCCTTCCGGCGAATGCAATTATAGACGGTATTTCACCCAAAACCTGTTTTTTCCGCATCACCGCCGGTCGCGGATGCATTTTTCTCGAACCGTAACCGGTTCGCGCTGTATAACGACAGGACTTTAATGACTTTTGTCACTTCGGAATTAGGAGGATCAGCCGGTGCCGTGGTGGCGTCTAGACTGAGCGACATACCCGAATGGAAAGTTTTGTTGCTAGAAGCCGGCCCGGACGAACCACCGGGTGCTCAGGTTCCCAGTATGGTGGGAATGTTTCTGGGTAAGTTTCAATTGGACCCTCCCTGCATATACATAGCGCTGTTGTTCTGTTATCTATACCACGTTCAAACCTCGCGATAAGCGATTAAGGTGTTATTGTAGTTTTTATTTTCATCTTTACTTTATCATTCAACATGACATGCAAGTGAATAGGTATTAGAAATGTAACATACAAAATGGGCGAAAGCTTTTTTCGCCTTTGATTCATTTAAATTCGATCTTTCCCTGTAGAATATTTCCATAAAATAATCTCTTTCATTTTCAATGTTCGTTAATTATGCTATGAAATAAAATTTCGTGTCTGCTTAAAATTCAATAAGAGCTAATACATTATCATTTATTAGCATCTCTGAAGCTTGATTTTAATCAGAGCGCCACGCATTTAATTCAACGATAATTTTATTAAAAGAGAATCGATGTCAAATTAGTTACGATAAAATCTGTAGGGACATAGTGAAACGACTCACCACGTGTATCTGAGATATCGACGGGTATCTGGAATAATGCGAGTAATCATATCGTTTTTATTTAAAACACACGAGTGTTTCGAGCACTTCCGAGAGGAAATTGTTACTGTGCTCATCTGGAATATATATTATTGCGAGTGCTGTTACGATCCGTTGCGGGCTTTACGCATGTTAAAACGATCTGACAATTTTGCCGATAGGAAGTGGCATTGACTGGCAGTATCAAACCACGAACGAGATGAACGCTTGTCTGTTAAACGGCGGATCCTGCAGTTGGCCGCGTGGTAAAAATCTAGGTGGGACGTCCGTTCACAATGGTATGATGTATATGCGAGGCCACGCGAAAGATTTTGACAATTGGGCAGCTAAGGGCAATCACGGATGGAGTTGGCGCGATGTAAGATCCTATAAACCTGTGCCAATAGACCATTTCAAGTATTTTGAATAATTTAAATACAGATGAATTGAAGTGAAAGGCAAAATTGAAGTTATTCAGCATCTGTCTCTTTTTTTAAATTGTAATACTTATCTCAAATGAGACACTATATAGAATAAAAGATACAAACTAACCATTTCACGTCAACGTAATTATTCAGTCATAACTTGTCGAACTAATAAAAAGTATTGTAAAGTACAAGTTACAATATAATTAGCATATGGTATGCTAACCATGATATTACAAGTCTCATAGTTCTGTAAAACGATATTTAGGAAGAGAAAGTTATGCTGGTGTAGTTTTTCAAATATCGATCTTTAAAAGTTCTCAACTCCAGGATATTGAAGAGATCGAACGAGAAATACACTCACAAGAAATAATGGCTGATCTTGTTTAGGTCTTGCCGTATTTCATGTGCTCCGAGAACAACACGGAGATCCATCGAGTTGGTCGCAAGTATCATTCGACCGGTGGTCTGCTAACTGTCGAGCGGTTTCCGTGGAAGCCTGCAATAGCAGACGACATCCTCGCCGCGGCAGCTGAGAGAGGATACCCGATTAGCGAGGACCTGAATGGTGACCAATTTATAGGATTCACTGTTGCTCAAGTCACAAGTAAGGACGGTGTCCGAGTGAGTAGCGCCTCAGCGTTCCTACGACCAATGCGAAAACGACGCAATTTGCACACGTCCTTAAACGCCACTGTCACGAAGATTTTGATATTAAATAACAAAGCCGTTGGAGTACAATTTTATCAAGTTAGTATATGCATTTATATTCTCTTAACTCGGCGATAATGATATTATCCTTTATATTTCATCCTATATTGAAAGCTTATTTGAATATGTATTTAATTTAATTAATAATTATTCTCTTAATATTATCTAAATATAACGTAATATATTAGGAGTTCTGTTAAAATGTTAGAAACTTCATTTAATAGAAAATCACTTCATTATTATTTATTGAATATTATTTAATAATTTAGTCTAATTTAAAGTTCAATTTAATTATGGATATCTAGGTATTCTATTTTAAATTTTTAATATCTATAAATAAAAGAGATGTGTGGGATGAAATTTTAATTCGTCATTTTTCATAAAAATCAAAAGTCACTTATCATAGATTAATAATAATAAGACAGTAAGGCCTATCAAATTATTATAAATATAGATCACATCTGTAAAGCTATTTTTAAGTATCAAATGATTGACAGATATAATTTTTATGGATTCCGGAAATCCTGCTTGTTACGAAATCGCGAGCAAGAGTTTTTTTATCGAAAGTTACAGCGAAACACGCTGCAACTTTTATTAATACGTCACGCTTGAAAAATCTGTATTATGCACGAGTGGGAATTTGCCGAGGGTCTTATTTTATTGTTTCAGCTTATATTAAGATACAACGCTCTAGTAATCATGCGCAGAAGTCGCACAATGCAAAGTCATTTTCACGGATATTAAAAACTTTTGTTTTTATCTCGTTTGCTGAAGTTTTAAGTTTTTCGTGTGCACACCAATAATTACATAATAGTTGATACGACATAATGAAGTCACTTTACATGGGTATAGTAAAAAGATCATTTTTATCTCACTCGCCAAAGCTACAAGTTTTTCATGCGCAAATCAATAATTACATAATAGATAATAGCTCATGCGCAGATTTCGCTTAATAGAGTCACTTTCACGGGTATTAAGAGGATAATTTTTATCTTGTTTGCATTTATAAGTTTTTCATATAAAAATCAATAATCAATGTCTTACTATATTTGACTTGTACACCTTTAGATATTCGAGAATGAATTCTAAAAAGCCATACTAACCTAGTTTAAGTTTGATTTAGTGTTTTCATTAATTAATAATTATACGACGCGTTAAATTCTGTAAAATGTACACGTTGTTGAAACTAAACGAGACATAATATGACGATATCACGCGGCATCGGGTAACTTTGCTTTTTGCCGGAGTAGTTACCGGCACTTAAACGCGAAATCAAGTTCGCGCTCTAAAGCGCGTCGGTGAGTTTGATGATGTGAGTTTCAATGAACGCATCTTCAGGATGGTGAACTTCGAGTTGCCCACGCCACAAAGGAGGTAATCGCCTCCGGTGGTGCCGTAAATTCGCCTCAACTGTTGCTACTCTCCGGAATCGGGCCGAAGGAACATCTGCGGGCGGTGAACGTCACAGTCGTCAAGGATCTTCCAGGTAAGCGATCCATTCATCGTACGTAAGTCATTATGAGTACGATGATGTACCTCTCAGAGAAGATAATAATCCTCCGATAGAATTTAGCGTATTTCATCGATGACACGCGAAAGTTTATTATTCGATTCGTAATTAGCAGTGTTTTCCGTTATCTAGATAAAATTATCTAGATAATTATATAGATGAAGAAATGGCTTTATCTATATAATTATCTAGATAATTTTATCTAGATAACGGAAAACACTGCTAATTACGAATCGAATAATAAAGTTTCGTGCGTCATTGATGAATTAAGCTAAATTCTATCGAAGGATTATTATCTTTATCTAGATTATTAAGAATATAGATTTTTTTTATCTTATCTTAGATAAAATCTTTTTCAAAATTAACTAAGATTGTAAAAGAGTATTGTAAAAAAATTTCTATATAACTTCTTTTATGAAAATTTTTTTATGATATAGATAAAACTGGGATTAGTATGACATCAGTCATAATTCAAAGTGACATTGATATACTTTCATATTTAGAAGATAAATCTAAGGAATTAAATATTCTTGATTTGTATCCACACGTGTGTCAAATAAATTTTTTTTAAATATGACACATTGCCACTATCAGCGCCAGTGAAGCACCTTTTTATTTGTGGACAATAAATGTTAATTCGACGTAGAAACCATTTGTTAGACGAAATGTTCAAAAAACTTTTATTCATAAAAAATAAAAATTAATAAAAATATAAATACATTTTTTGTATCCTAATGCCCAATTTTTTCTCTTCCAGATAAATTGCGGATAACTTTATCCAGGAGATATCTCCATTGTATTCTGGGAGATATCTCTTGAATAAAGTTATCTAGAAGTGAAGAAAATGGACATAAACCGTTTTACTGTCTAATAGTTAGTTAAAAACAAAATTATCTTAAAAATTATCTAGATAAAAATTTTTTTAATTTTATCTTTTATCTAGATTAATGTAAAGTTAATCATCTTATCTAAGATATATTTTTATGTGATTTATCTTATCAATATCTAGATAATTTTTAATTGTCTAAGCGCAACATTGATAATTAGCATTACGACGATGGCATCAAATCTTTCGCTAGGTATAAATTTAACAAAGAGTCAAACAAGAGTCTCGTGCTGTTGAAAGAAAACTAATTAGGCATTGAAGAAAATTAGTTCTTAGATACTTCGGAGCATCTTATTTAAAGTACGACCGAGATTAATTCCCGGATAGATTCAAACGTCTACGTTAATTACGAAAAGCGCAAAGTTTTCGTTCTTATTGAACATAAATGATGGAAACGAACGTCAAGTCGACGCTCGAACGGATCACCGACCGGAATTACGTCAAAGTCGATAATTGCGTTTTTAATCGACTGAACCATTTTGCTCCAGGTGTCGGGGAGAACCTGCATAATCACGTGTCGTACACTTTATCGTGGACCATCAATCAACCGAATCTGTTCGACCTGAACTGGGTGACTGCCGCGGAATATCTCGCCTTCCAAAGAGGACCGATGTCGTCGACTGGTTTATCGCAATTGACCGGGATGTTACCGTCGACCTACGCGGATAAGAATCATCCTGATATCCAGCTCTTTTTCGGTGGCTATCAGGCAGCTTGCGCAATCACCGGTGAACCAGGTTCCACTATGGACAATAACGGTCGCAGAATCAGCATATCGCCGACAATGACACAGCCGCGTAGTAAGGGTAAGCGAACGTAATTAGCCCGAAGTACCCGCCCGTAAAAAATGACTAATTAGATGGTAATTTCAATCAATTTATCATCGATCACCGACCACCATAAATTCCGTCCGTAATTTAACGCGGGAATGATAGGACCGGTTCGTTCGCGACCGTGGTTATCATCGAGAAAATTTCTACAAATTGATTAATCAATGCTTCCACGTTGCATCTCGGTGGTCTGTGAAATTCCGGTGAATTTCGACAGTCAATGTATCGCACATCAATGTAGCGTACCGTTCTGTCACCGATTAACCATTGCCAATAAACGAATTTGGCCGCAGGGAGACTGCGTCTCGCCAGTAACAACCCCCTCGAGAAGCCACTCATTTGGGGCAACTATCTGAACGATACTATGGATGTGAACATCCTCGTGGAAGGCATCCAGATTGCGTTGTCCCTCGCCAATACCAGTGCCATGGCCAAGTATAATATGACTTTGAATAACCAACTGTTGTCCAATTGCTCCCGGTATCCTTATCTGAGCAAACAGTATTGGGCCTGCGCCGTGCGCCAGGATACTGGCCCGGAAAATCATCAAGCGGGTTCCTGCAAGATGGGTCTACCTAATGATCCCATGGCCGTAGTCGACAATCGATTGAGGGTATATGGCATCAGAAACCTCCGGGTGGCCGACACGTCCATTATGCCAGAGGTAGGTATTTTCTGTAATCGCGGGAATATCGCGAGTGTTGATGCATTTTTCCTTCTATTTTTGCTTTTACTGCACTTACTGAACACCAAATGGTTCTATCATTAGCAAAGATCGGGAGATACTCGAATTTTTTCGTTACGAAGATTCTTTTTTAAGATTAACGTGCTATTATCGTTCGAATTATGCGTTCGTCATTAAGTTTTTAATCATTCGTTGGGATTCCTCATTACGTAAAGCCTATTTTAGAGACTCTATAATTTGTGTTAGAATTTAAGATAGTATTTTATTTCAATCTTATGCGGCGTATAATACGAGAGATAATTGAAGAATCCAAATATGTATAAATATAAATCATATATGTATACGTACATTAAAATATACAGCATAAAAATAAAATGCACTAGATTATTATTCTAAAATCTTATATGAATTATAAATTATTTAAAGTTAGATTAACGAATTTATAAGCTTTTCGTTTATGTACGTTATTCATTTTTAGCTCTAATTTAATCTTTTAATATATAATGTCTTCGAAATTTTGTTTAATATATTTATAAAACTCTGTGAAAGCTCATTTTACAATATTTTTATGATCTAATTGACGTGAAAATTAAAAGAAGAAATATAGAACAATGATTTCTTTTTAAGGTAACGTCCAGCAACACGGCAGCCCCGGCCATGATGATCGGCGAAAGGGCGGCAGCGTTCATCAAGTCCGATTGGGGTGTTACCGGTACACAATGGTACGGGAAAGACAAAGAACCTTGCCCCATAGGGAAAAACGATCATCCTTGGATGCATCATTAGTCACCAGCAATTTACCATGTTTCCTAGTTCACGCACGACGATCGACAGTACGCTGGACCTGTTACTTTGGGGGATCAAGTACATCGACTGGGATCAGGCTATATGGTAGCCCGGGTTCTTCCCGATCTATCTAGTCGCTTATTGCATCCATCAATGCGTATTCCGCAGCCTACAAAAAGTCGGCGAGAACGCGACCAAAGGCAAGGACTTTCTGGAAGATCCCCGTAGGCTGCGATTTCCTTTCTCTTCGGTATGATCGAGCGATCGAGCTGGACTTACATCCCGCTCGATAGCGCGAGCGCTACGTCAGAACTCAACATTATATTGCAACGTGCAATTATTGTTACTAACGCAGTGAGTACGACTGATGACGAGTCGTCGTCTCGCTGTACCGCCATGTCTTAATTTCCAGTTAGGAATTTCCTAAGATTGTGTCTCATAGCATTGCAGCTAGTCGAGAGATCTGCCATCAATCAATTAGCTGCGACATAACGAGCATAAATACTCGTATAACTTACGAGTATTGTTACTATTATAATATTATTAATTCCGTAAACAAGCTACAATTTCCTGTTGTTATATTATCCAGCGAGAAATGAGTCATCGAATTGATGTCGGATCGATATCGATACGATGATTTCAACACTAATTTGACGTCAATTCGACGTCAATTGACAATCATTTCTTGTTGGGTAATTAACAATTTATTCATAAAGAATAAAATAGACTGTATGTTTCTTAAAACTATATATAACAAAAAGATATGTATTAAATATAGAAAATAAATCATCTGAAAGATAAGTAAAAATTAAAAATTGTATTGTTTTTATGCTCAAAAAGTATTCGAATAGTCGAGAAATTTAATTTCTAAAATCAGGAATACATACGAAACTCGTTTATTTATGTTAGAACAGAATGTATTCATTGTATAAAATTACTAATTAATGTTTATTTTCTCTACAAATAAGTCTTTTTTATAACAAATTTCCTTGTACGAATACTTTTTGCTATCACTGTACATAGCTTCCAATATGTAGTTGTAATAGCATGTAATAGATACCATCATGGATGTCCTATTGAAATGATAACCAAAGACAGATTCTGGTACCTGGTACACCAACCGCCAAAAAACATAGTAATTAATTATTAACAAAAAATATGTAAAAAAAACAAAATGGATTATAAATATGGATAGTTCGGCCACTCTCGAATCGTCCGAGTGTAAATCAAAATATTGTAAATAAACAAGATTGCATAGTAGCACAGACTAAATATAGAATAACCGCTTGCTTCCAATCGATCCTTTGATATTATTGTGAATTGCGTATATGTGTCGTAAATAAATGCAATAATTGCAATTAAATGTAATAATTATAAATAAATGCAATAATCAAAGTTTTAAAAATAAAATAGTTGCTTGTTATAACAACTAAATATTGATTGAAATTAATCCGCTTGTATAATATAAAGCAATTTGATAAAAATTTTAAACAATCAATAAATTAACGCTTACAAAACTTTCGTGTGCAATACACAAGCTTTTACTCTAACTTCCGGAATGCAAATGGGTTCAGCGGAAACACAGGTCATAATAGCTCGTATCTATTTTTATTTGCGCTATTTTAGTGACAGACTATTCGTCATTTTTTTAAAATGATAGCACGTGCGGTGATTTACAAGTGTGACAAGTAGGGGTTATAACAAGCCTCGTTATTATCGTTTTTATGTTATGTGCGTTGAGCACTTAATCACAGCGAGACATTTCACGGTACGTGCACGTGTGCATATGTATATATGCGAAATGGGTATATAACAAAGCGACAACAAAACGGATGCCGCAATCAGGTAGTAAAAGCCGAGCACGACGGACAATACTCCTTGCGACGATCTTATTCAGGGAAAATGGTACGTTGCTATTCTACGGATATATCGCTTGTCAATTGTATTAGGTGTAAAGGAAAAAAACATTTTTAAAAAGTTAATAATAAAAAAAATAGAAATACTGTAAAAAAACAAATTCAGGTTTAAAATTTTTTAATTTTTAACTCAAAGTTTCGACACAATAGTAAAAATATCAAATAATAGTAAGAATAATAGTACGAATAATACGAATAATAGTAAGAATAATAGTATATCAAATAATTCCTTCCCTAAAATTTTTTATATTTTGAAAAATTGAAACAGGCAACGAGTATATTCGAATAAAATAATATTTGTTTAACGTAATAAATTTCTCCAATTAGAATTTTATAGAATTCAACAAAGTTAATCGAAAAAATTATATGCAACACTTAATATTAAATCCTCGTAGATTATTACAGTTATTCGTAATTTGATTGCGAGAGTAAAGTGATTTCACAACAGTAATGACCGTGATATTCACAAAATAATGGAGCGTCGTTCTACGGTTTATACGATGCATAAACTCGAGATCAACATTCTTAAGTGCCGCAATATATTTAGTCGTGCAAACTATACGTTATATGGTATTATAGAACATGTACTCGCTGGACTACGATGTGCCGGAAGCACCATGTTCGCCGCCCTTCCCCGTAAATGGACTCTCATTGACCGATGTCTGCAACGGCAATTCTGCCACTTTGTTTCTGTCTATGATAAACATGTTAGCTGCCTACAGCCCAATAATTAACGGAATGTGCGAGCGAATCACGCCTATCAAGAAGCCGCAATTTATTTACGACTTCATTGTCGTTGGAGGTAAGATAATCAATTTACTCATGACACATAATGGGCTCTTAAAATCCATCTGTCTACACTGAGAAAAAAAATTTGTTCAACTAACTAAACACATTTAGTTGTTTGCAGATTTGATTAATTCAACAAATTTTATTTAATTGAACCTTAATCTGCTTAACAAGCTGTTCAATGTTAAACAGACTACGGTTAAATTCGATTAAATAAAATTTGTTGAATTAACCAAATCTGCAAATAACTAAATGTGTTCAGTTAGTTGAATAAATTTTTTTTCTCAGTGTAGCAATCTAACGAATCGTTTCGCGAAATTATGTTCAGTGAACGTAAAAACTTAATATTCATCCCTAAATCGTATTATTTAAAATCAACATTAAGATTTATTTGTAAATGATTTTGTATGTTGAAAAGATATTAGTTCATGGCTAAACTAATATCTATTCAATCTTGTGTTTTTAATTCAGGTGGTGCAGCCGGATCAGTCGTGGCCGCTAGACTGAGCGAAATTAAGAACTGGAACGTGCTTCTCGTAGAAGCCGGACCAGACGAGTTACCTGGCATGCAAATACCTAGCAACCTTCAACTCTATCTCAGTAATACATCTTGATTTCTTCATAGCCGCTAATATTAGTAATTGTTTGCGATTAATTTTAATCGTGCAATATTACAGGCACCGAACTGGATTGGAATTATAAAACAACGAATGAATCGTACGCGTGCTTGAGGTACAACGGCAGTTGCAGCTGGCCAAGGGGTAAAAACCTCGGAGGATGCTCTTCCCATCATGGTATGATGTATCATCGAGGCCACGCGAAAGATTATGACAGATGGGTGGAAATGGGAAACGCGGGATGGTCGTGGAAAGACGTATGGAGAAAATATTACTAATAAAATCTTGATGATATCACATAAATCATTATTAATTTTTGTATATTAGGTGCTGCCGTACTTCTTTAAATCGGAAGACAATAAAGAAATTGGAAGGGTCAGGGCAGAAGATCACGCTACTGAAGGTCCAATAACAGTTGAAAGGTGCAAATGTCAATTTTCCTAAGTTCATGGCACGCAGAAAAACATTAAGATCGCAATTTGTTCCGCAGAATTTTACTCTGAAAAAAGACACAAATGACTTCGAATCGTTTTTTTATTTTAAATGACGTAAACAATCGTGACAACGATAAAAAGAGTGTAAGAATTAAAGTAATATAAAGGCTTTGGCACACAAAAAACACTTGGCACTTAAACAGTAAGCGAATCACGGTAGAAAACAAGTAATAACGTAAACAGGAAATCCAAAATGTTGATTTGCTTACTGCTTAAGTTCTTTTTGTGTGTCATAGCCTTTATACTACTTTAATTTTCACACCCTTTGTCTTTCTCTCTCTCTTGCGCGCGCGCGCGCTACACAACTGTTTACGTCATTTAAAATGAAAAACAATCTGAAGATATCCGTTTTTTTTTTTCCAAAGTAATAATTCAGCGGAATAAATTGTGATTGCCGTGCGATTACCGTAAAATCTTTTGATGTCTGTTATATAATTAGTTATTCTTTGAAAATTAATTTTATCATCAAGGAATATTTCAACGCATTTATCTCTATCTATCGCAATTAGCGTAGCTGATCCGGATTCATTAAACAGGATCTGTGCATTGAGACGTAAAGCGTGTCTCTGACGTAATCCCCATAGTTTCCCCGCCGATTTAATTGATCTACACGTACGAATTAAACTCGCTGATTACTTTCATTAATAGATTCCCCTGGCAGCCGCAATTCGCTTGGGATATATTGACGGCTGCAGAGGAGACAGGTTTAGGAGTCAGCGAGGACTTAGTAGGCCAGAATATCACGGGTTTTACCGTGGCACAAACAATCAGCAGAAATGGCGTCAGACTTAGTACCGCCAGAGCTTATCTATGGCCACACAGAAATCGTAAAAATTTGCACGTGGCTCTAAACGCGACCGTGACGAAAGTCAATACGATGAAAAGTTTAACAAAAGTAAAAACCGTAGGAATCACTTTCATTATGGTGAGTCAACACCTCATATTTCTTGGGCTTTTACGGACGCAATTTCGCAATTGCATCTTCATGAATAAACGATGATTTGTCCCGAGTCACATGGCTTGATGGACGATTTACAATTTGTAGAACGGCCGGCAATACAACGTAATAGCGAAAAAGGAAGTGATTCTTACGGCTGGCACTATAAATTCGCCTCAGCTTTTGCTCCTATCGGGTATCGGGCCGAAGGGACATCTAAACTCCGTGGGGATTCGCACAGTCGTCGATCTGCCGGGAGTCGGTGAAAATCTTCACAACCACGCATCGTACGGCGTGGACTTCAGTCTCAATGAGACGCACATAAATGAACTAAATATGGAGAATGCCGATACATATTTATTCAATCAAACCGGCCCATTATCGTCTACGGGATTGGCTCAAGTCACTGGCATATTAGCATCCAATTACACTACCGCTGATGATCCAGATATTCAGTTCTTCTTCTCCGGCTATCAAGCCATTTGCAACACGGATGGTAGAATTGAGGATTTGAAAATGTACGATAACAAACAAACTGTTAGGTTTATCGCCGTAAATATTCAAACGTTAAGTAGAGGTAAGTCAATAAGCATGTAACTCAGCTTTTGCTCTAAATAGCACAATATTAGCATAAAAATACTGACAATGTAGATAGCTATGCATGGCAACATGGTGAACGAGATTATAAAACTATACTTTCAACTTTTCCTATCAGTATTCTTCACCGAAATTATTTCAATATATTTTTTATTTGCAATCGCATTAGAAGAAAATCGATATAATTGCATTCTAGTTATATAAGTAATTATAATTAAAATA